CTATCGAATAGACTTCCATGCCGCTTGGAACACGGTAATCCGTGCCCCCATTGGTCGTGAATTAACACATGCCTCAATTTGCGCCAATAAAGTACTTAACTCCTCAAACGTAAGTTTGTTATCTGCGATTGTTCGCTTCAAATGTAATTTGACGGATTTAACAGCTGATTCTTCTAAACCATTCATATGAGGAGCCCCCGGAGGCGAGAAATGCCATTTCGTGCCGCTTTTTGCCAACTCTTTACAAACCGCCTCGTCGTATTTGTCCTCAAGATCATTCATATTTTCGCACAAGATTTTATTTGATTTAACAAAGTTTGTACCGTTGTCGCTGTAAAGATTTTTCACTATACCACGTCTAGAGACGAAGCGACGATACGCGGCAATAAATGCTTCAGCAGTCATGTCCGTGACTACTTCGACATGAATCGCCTTCGTTGACATGCATACGAAGATAGCAATGTATGCCTTCTTTGTTTTGTACGCACGACCGTTCATCAATTTGACTTGAATCGCGCCAGTATAATCGACAGCTGTGTTAATGAATGGTTTTTCGGAAATATTTACACGTTTTTCTGGCAAGTCAGCCATAAATTGATGCATTGTTTTTGGTGCTGCTTTAAAACAATCAACACACTTGTGAATTATCGCCTTTATTGTGCGTTGGCTATTTAGCACCCAAAATTTTTGTCGCAATACTGCTTCAGTTAGCTTGGGTGCACCATGTAAACAGTTCAAGTGTACGCTTTTTATTATTAATGCTGTTACAGCATGTTTCGATGGCAATAGCATTTGATGTATCGCTTCGTAGGGTAGGTCAGCGTTTTTCAAGCGACCGCCAACTCGCAATACTTGTTTGCTGTCCAAAAATGGTGACAGTTTCAACAATGCGTTAGTATTTTTGAGTTCACCCCCTGTGCCCAACATTTTGATTTCCTCGGCGAAACTTTCTTGTTGCACATTTTTTATAATTGCCGCTTCAGCACATTCGAGCTCGTCAGCAGTTAATATGCCAGTTCGTTTGTTTTTATTTTTGGGTTTGCTATTGAACGAGAAACGTTGACAAAGAGCAATTACTCGTTTCAATTTTTCATATGTTGATGACTCGGGCAGCGTAAATTTTTCTTTTTCATCCAATTTGGACACATTAACAGCAGCCTCGAGAACTGGCAATTCGAGTTTTGGTTTATATCGCGGTGGTTCCAGAGCCGCATTCACAAGAAAACTCGGACCGTTCCACCACAATGAGTGTGTGCTTAATTCCGCTGGTGAGATTCCACGCGATGCACAATCAGCCGCATTGTCCTCGGAACGTACATGTGACCACCAATCTTTTTCAACGAGCTTATTGATTTTTGCAATTCTTGACCCAATAAATGTTTTATATCTCTTTGGATTGGCGTGGATCCAATCGAGAACGATTCTCGAATCGGACCACAAGCAGATTCGACTGAAGTTGATGTCCAAAATTTTAATCATTTTTTCCGTCATTTGTGCCAAGAGTAGTGCACCACAAAGTTCAAGACGCGGAATTGTACCATTTTCATTGTTTTTGTCTTCTTTTATTGGAGATACACGGGCATTTGCAACCAACAAATGCGCTGTGTACCGTGTACGATTGACAATATAAATTGCCGCTGCATATCCGGCCTCGGCTGCATCGGAAAATCCATGCATTTCGATGGTGTCTGACCGGCTACAATTCACCCAGCGTGGAATTCGCAAATCGGCGATGAATTTCATTTCTGCTTTAACTTTTTGCCACTCGTCAACAAACTCTTGTAGCCCAATATAGCCCAACGGGTCATAGAGCGAGGCAATTTCAGACGTGAGCTGTCGTTTAGTGCGAGGTACAGCATCCAAATCTAACGATACGTTGATTGCGAGCTCGTCGCTGTCTGTCGACCAACAAATACCAAGCGTTTTCGTTATACCGTTAATGGAATTTATTTCCCGCTCTTCTTTCGGAATATGATTCAATAATTCATGTGAATTGCTGGACCACTTTCGCAGACGAAATTGACCTGATTTCATTAAATCGGTCAATTGCTCGGATAGCATTGCTGCTTCTTCGACGCTATCTGCGCCTGATAACACATCATCCATGTAGCAGTCCTCCCTTAGTACAGGAGACGCTATTGGAAATTCATTGGAACCGTCGATCGAAAGTTGCTTTAATGTGCGTGTTGCCAAAAATGGTGCAACTGCAGTACCGTATGTTACAGTGCTGAGTTCAAATTCTTTGATTGGTTGATCCGGTGATTCTCTCCACAAAATTCTTTGGAGGTGAGTTTGAGATTCATCGACGCGAATTTGTCTGTAAATTTTTTCTACGTCGGCCGTGAAGGCAATTTTATGGCGACGCCAACGGAGAATTATTGTGGTCAGATCATTTTGATCAATGGCACCAATTGGAAATTGATCGTTTAAACTTTTCTTATTTGCCGTTTTTTGAGATGCGTTAAAGACTACTCTCAATTTTGTAGTAGTACTATCTTTGAACACACAATGGTGTGGTAGGTAATGGGCGTCCGGGTGATAATGTACTACCTCACGCATGTGACCGGAAATAATATATTCGTTCATAAAATCGCAATATTGGATTTTCAATTCTGGATTACTTGTACAACGGCGTTCGAAAGAGAACAATGACGCAAGTGCAGCTCTTCTCGAGTCTCCAAGATCAGGTTTTTCCAAACCCCCTTGAATGGTAGCATAACCACATAGCGTCCATCTTCATCGCGTTTGTGTGTTGCTACAAAATGTGATTCACACATTTCTTCTTGTTCCGTTAGTGCTTCACCATCAACATTATTAAAGTCATCAGATGCAAAAAAACGGCTCATTTGTTGTTCTAATTCAACATTAGAGACAAGTG